ATCCACTTCACAGGTCTGGAAGACCGTCTGTACTGCTCTTTGAGCCAAAGTCAGCCTCAGCTCTGTATATCACCCACAATCTAATGGACAGACCAAGAGGCTCAGCCAGGTGTTGGAATCAGCCCTCCACTATGTCACCACACAAAACCCGGTAATTTGGTCTCTGAATCTTCCTTGGTTAGAGTATGCACAAATTGACTTAACTCATCTAGAGCCTTTTGAAGCCTCTCTGGGTCATCCCTGTTTCATGAGAATGATGTTGATCTTACATTTGCACTCCGACTTAGGAAATGGTCGCTACACAGATGAGAACTAAGAGCACCCACTTCAAAGTACACTCCAGGCCAAAAAATGACTCGCTGCTAGGGACGTTCCCCTCAGGCCATTCACCCACAAGCTCACCCCAAGCTACACTGGACCCTATGAAGCTGAGACTGTCACCAGTCCTACGGCAGTTTAACTTAAACTCCCTGCATCTATGTGCATACATCCCACGTTCCATGTTTCCCAAGTCAATCCCGTGGACTCTAGTCCCCTGCCCCCGCCACATACTCTTGTCTTGTATTTGCTTCTCTGTGTTAATAATAAAGCTTGTGAAAACCTTAACACTGTTCCATTTGTGTCTGCACTTGGGTCCACTCCCACATAATGGCCTCCGAGCCCTCTTGACACTAGTAGCTTAATATTCTTTTAAACTTTTAGAAGTTCAGCAGCTGACAGCAAGTTCAGGCTGGTTTGTGGCATTCTTGTGGCTTTAACTGTTAGATGTCATAGAAGCTGAGGCAGTTGGCACAGCTGGCTAATTGTCTGTGGCTCATAACAATGACTTGAAAGAAATATGTAACTTATGTAAGAGGAAGGCACTTAAATGATCAATACCCCCTAAACAGCTACATTCAAGATCAATATAGTGTAAAGATTTGCCAGGGGAATGGATTAATGGAGGAAGTGTATAAATGTCAGCGTAGATACATCACTGAATATATGTGCATTGGATGAGTGTTGAAACAAAATTTACTGGCCCAGAGCTGTTTGCGTAATTACTGATGTGGTAAGGCTTTTCCTCTTTGTTTTCTTTCTATTGTTGCCACTCTCTCTCTTCCCATCTTGTCTTAATCATTACCTTTTCTTACTTTTTATCGCTCTTTCTTTTTCAGTCTTTCTTAACTGCCCTCCTTCACTTTTGCTTTCTTGTTGTAGGTGCTGTGTTGTGCAGCCAAGGCCGTTTCTTCCTCAGAACGCACTCTTGAAAGGCTATTCATGTATTCTTCAATGACACCCTATTACATTTGTGTGAGAGGCTGTGTGTGTGTGTGTGTGTGTGTGTGTGTGTGTGTGTGTGTGTGTGTGTGTGTGTGTGTGTGAGAGTGAGAGAGAGAGAGAGAGGGAGAGAGGGAGATGCAGAAAGAAAAATAAAGAGAGAGAAAGGTATTCCAGGGGGGCCATGCTACAGTGCCATCTGTATGCAAATCTCCTCAGACTTTGGTAAACTTTGATCAAACACTCAGGCCTTCTTTTCTCTTGCTGTACTCCCTCCCTCTTTTCCTCCCTCCCTCTCTTGCTTAGCTGTCCACTATGTGTTCTGCAATTACTGTAGCTCCACAGCTCTTTGTCACGGCTGCATATTACTCAGCTAGGGCAATGAGTTCCCTGGAGGAACTGCCTCCACCACGCGCACACCTCCATGTTTTCTGCCCCAATACCCCCCGATACCCTCCTTGTTTCAGGCTGTACCTACAATAAGCCCAACACACACCATTTCTGAGCACCTGCGACCGTGCTGGACTCCATAACAGATGGTGACACCCCTTCACCCCCATCCCCTGCCCCTTACACGCATGCACGACACACACAGATAAAGGGGCTCTCGCCATACGGAGCTTATTGTGGCACATGTGTGATGGGCATGCCATTGCGCAGAGCTTGGCCACATTTCATGCACACACACACACTTGTGCATGGATACATACGCTATTGTATTCCTACATTTAGGAAGGTTAATATGTTGAATACAGATCTGGTGTCCAACAGCACAATGGAAACGTTGTGGCTAGTCTTAATGGCGGGGGTAATGAAGATCTCAAAGTAGATGACACAAACCCGCAACATGCCACACCATCTCCTGTGTAGCTTTAATGCACATCCATCAGTGGGGTCTAAGCCCATTAGAGTTGCATCGTGTCTGTGTGTGTGTGTGTGTGTGTGTGTGTGTGTGTGTGTGTGTGTGTGTGTGTGTGTGTGTGTGTGTGTGTGTGTGTGTGTGTGTGTCTGAGCAGTTCAGGCCAGGCAGTCAGCGGGCAGAGAGATAATGGATATTAATCAGGCAAAAGCCATGGCCATATGTCTGTTTAACGCAGAAGATGGCTACTCCCTTCTAAAACAATTAGCCTCATTTTAGAGAGCAGATAGCTTAGCAGGGAGCGTGAATGGCTGTCTGTTGCTCTGTGTTAGCCCTGACTGGTGACATGTCAAGGGTGTACCCTTAGTCTCGCCCAAAGTCAGCTGTAATATCCACCCCACTAATGTCAGGTTGGCTAAGTTGTTAAGGGAAAAGGTTGTTAAATTGCAACTGGAACATGTGAGATTCAAGAAGAAGCATGAGCATATCTGAGCCATGAGCATATCTGAGCCAGTCAGGTTTATCTGTATTGGCAGGGGGTTTGGTGCTGAACACTATGAGGTGAAATTAAAGTTAGTCTTACCATCTGAACCAAACAACTTCTCTCTGCTGTGATATGTTGTTTTTCTTTTTACCCCCATTTATTTTTCTGCGTTATTGTCTATGAGCTTGTTTTTATCCTATAACCAGGCAGGATAAGTCATTAGGCAGATGGTAAGGGGAAGTCCCATGAGAGGACACACACATGCACGCACACACAGGGTCTCCTATCCTGTACGCACACATGTACAGTTAGTATGCACAAAGACACCAGACCCCTGTTATGTAATCCACCAGTGCCACTCCCCCACTGAGAAGCTCAGTGTTGTACTGTCTCAACTCCCAAACAAAGTCATCTGTCTTCATATACCCCTGTCTCTCACATAGGCCTCATACCTTAGGACCATCTTGGTTCTGCAAGTAGCTAAATGACAATTGTGCTTCTGAAAAATTAAACGCCGGAGTGTTCGTTCTAGAAAGGAAGTAATATATCACTTTTGGTGAAAGAGAAACAATCATTGATCATGTTGTCCTATCTATCTTTTTAAAGGGATTACTGCAATTCATCAGCAGTGTGTATTTTATGTTGTATTAGTGCACTTCTCTCTTTCTTATACCCTCTGTGAGCACACTGCTGTGCTAAATGGCTATACAGACCGTGGCAACAGATTTCTCTTTCAGCCATCTCCAGAGAGCGCCTGAACAGGCTTGTGAAAGGCGCATATTTGGGCTAAGGCCCAACACAGGATGCACAGAGGGAAGGAGGAGAGACAAAAAGGGGAAGAGGAGGTGGGGAGGGGCAAAGCCATGTGGCCTATGTTGGTAAACAGTATCCAGCCTTGTCCTGGCATCGTGGCAGGCAGCGCACAACACCGGAGATATCAGGCGCCGGGGCCACACACAGACCACAACAAAAGGTAGACACACATTTGCATTCATACACACACACACTCGGGCAGAAATACACAGACTACTAACAGACAAATAAAAGCCTCACTCTCGTGTCTGCCACTCAGCAGCTGCTCCAGTTTCCATAGCAACAGCCTGAACAATGTAGTAGGAAGAGCTGCGCTGGTGAGAGAGGAAAATAGAGAGGTGTGTGTATCTGTGTGTGTGTGTGTGAACTGAAGTGAGTGAGTGTGTAGGTGTGTGTGTGGGTGGGTGTGAGAGGCTATGCAGGGGGAGGTAGCTGCAGGGTGCGGAGACAGAGAGCATTCAGAAGACACTCGCTTTCTTTGTCAGGATGAGTCTTTGAGAGCAGCACAACAAATACAGAAATGTGGAGGCAAACAGGGAAGTAAACAGATTGATGCAGATATGAAAGGGTGACGAGGTTAAAAAAAAAAAAATCCACAAAGGCAAAGATGAAGATTTTATGATATCTATTTATTTTTCAAAATGAGGTATTTCAAAGTGCTATGAGTTGCAGCACTAAATGTACATTTTAAATTGAAAAAAACAAAACAAAAACAAACACAAAAAAACAAACATCTTATATCTGTTTACCCAGTTCTATGCACCCGATAGCAAATATAAACAAAAAAAAGGAAGAAAGAAAAAAAAGGCCAGGTACATGAGGATAGAACACATTTTCTGTACAAAAGAATTATTTGAGATAGAAGAAAAAATGACGAGATAAAGTGATATCTACCAGGAACTCATTTTCATACGAAAATATAAGTATCAAATTTAGTATGTATCAGGTTCACACTAAAAGCATAAAAGGTGTGTTGAATTAGTAATATAATACAATACAAAGAAAGGGAAGAGAAAGAAAACAATATATTGTTATATTACAAAGTTTCATGACTCTCAAAATTGAGGCCTTACAGTACTTTTAAAGGTATATAAACTTCCAGTCTAAATGTTGGCAGCTTTCTGACATGTATATATATATAAAAAAAGAACAAGGACAAACTGTATTACAAAACAAGGCAGATCTGAGTGTATTTTGTCTGTACACTATTGTTATATACAAAAGTGTCGGCTAGCAAGGTGCGCAGTTATACATCCACTGACTTGGTTTGAGCACCAGTGTGAGAAGAGTGAGGGAAAGAGGACCTGTAGTGGCATTGTTTATGTGACACCTCAGTCATCAGTCTTTTCAGTTTTGCAGTGGTGAAGGCAAAGTAAGTGTGCACTTCTTCTTGAACATGAACTCTCCAAGCAAAGTGCCCTCCAACACCCGTCCCTGTGGGAATAACTAGATTCCAGGCTGGTGTCACAGTGAGTACAAAAAAAGTACAAATAGAAATTATATTTTTTCAAAAACAGAAGAAGGGAAGACCAAAAAAAGTGTGTCCTCTCTCCTTCCTCATGCTTTTTTGTTTTTCGTGTGTGTGTGTGTGTGTGTGTGTGTGTGTGTGTGTGTGTGCGTTTTTAATCTTTCTTTAATGTGACTGGATTGAAAAAAAGTAAACCCTAAACATTCTTAACGTCAACAAATGTGCAAAAAAAGTGGCGGCAGTGAAAGTCCGAGCATCCCCCCGCCCCCGGCACCCCGCCCCTCCAAGGTGTGTGTTGACATCTGAACATAAACATCCTCTGAGATGTTGTGTTGGTGTGTGCACGTGTGCAACAAATATGGAGGCCTCTGTGTGCATCTTCTTGTGTATCAGACTTGAGTTGATGCAGAGGGGTGGGGGTGGGGGGGGTCGTCCAGGGTATATTGTGAGTGTTTGTGTTGTAGCACTTGTCTGTTAGCGAGTCCTTGCGTGCTCCAGCCTGCGCATCAGCTGTTGCCTCCGGACCTGGAGCCTTTCTTTCTCTTGCTGGAGCCTCATCTCTTCCGTCTCTAGCGAGTTCACATATTCGGTGGCCTTCTTAAGGATGAGCACCTTCGCCGCCTTCTCGTTGTGCGCCAGCTCCGGCACGTGGTCGCGCAGCGTCAGGAAGCTGGATCGCAGGTCGTTGCGGCGCTGGCGCTCCAAGATGTTGTGGTTGCGTCGGCGCTCGCTGTCCTCTGAGTCGGAGCTGCCTCTCGGGCTGCTGTCCCCGCTGGAGCTGCGCTTGCTGCGCACCCCTGATGTGCTGGTGACTGAACTGCAGGATGAGGAGGAAGATGAGGAGGATGAAGAGATGGTTCTGGAAGGAAGGCGCGGGGCATCAGACATCTTTTGCTTCTTTGGAGGCGGGGTTGGGTCATCGTCTGAAGCATAGGGTGAGGGGGCTGCGTAGTTATGTTGCTGCTGGTGGACTGAACTTCTCTTCAAGATGAGCTCCTGAGGAGCCCGGCTGACGAATCGACTCACCACACCGGAACCGGACCCTGAGACAATTCCTTTTGCATCTTGACTTTTGGGGTGTACAGAGATGGTGACAGTGCCTGACGCCATGGGTGATGCCTTGGTGATTGTAGAGCGCCTCTTCTCTACTGTGACTACATCAATCTCCTCCTCATCTTCTTCTTCTTCTTCTTCTTCTTCTTCTTCCTCCTCCTCTTCTTCTTCTTCGTCTTCCTCTTCTTCGTCTTCTTCTTCTTCATCTTCGTCTTCCTCTTCTGAGAAAAGAAAACAACGTGAGTGATTAATTGCTTTGACACAGCACTATTCCATCTGTGTGTGCCAGCAAGTGGCAGGTATACATGTGAGCGAGATCAAGGTGTAGGAGAAAGAATGTTGCTCAATACTGTTTGCACAAGCAGAAACCTCTTAATGCTTAGTGTCAGTCATTTGGTAACTAATCTATTCTGCAGGAATTGACACGTTCAGTGTCAGCGCTGAGCAGACAGGCTGGATTTCTGCATTTCATTCTCCCTCCCTTATTCAAAACTTTCTTAATCTTCTCTGGAGATGAGACAGCTTTAGTCTGGTGCTTTCAGTCTATCGGCACACCTCCACTCACACTGAAAGTGTGCCAGTAGAATCAGATGCATTAAGAACTTAGGTTTAACTCTGACCTCTAAAGTTAAAAACCTCATTTCCACCTGAGCTCTTGATCTTAATACATGTGCTAATGTTGAGATGAGCAGGTGACCCTTATCATCCACGGGTGCTTTTGGAGGTGACAAGAAGTGACCAACCAGGCCCCATTAAAATGCCTTTGTTATAATGGCTCCCATTATCAGCTCAGGAGCATCTGAGGAGTGTGGCATTTTACAGCTTATGGTAACCCACTTCAGACACTACTGCACCAGAATGTCTGAACACATGCTACACACACACACACACACACACACACACACACACACACACA